GTCTGGGCCCGCCTCGGGCTGTCGCCGGGCTTGAGGGGCCGCAGCCATGTCCGGATGCCCCCATCGGGCCCCAGGCTGGGAGCTGCTGTTACCGGCACTGCTTCTAGTGACGCCTTCTGTTTTGTTGTTGTGAAAAAAAGATTGCTCTTTTTAATAGCGAAAGACCTGGCAGCGGTCAAAAGTTAGTGTCTGAGGTGTAGCGGATGTCCATTAGGTGTGTTGAACAGTATCCACAACTGTTAACCCGCATATTCTCAGAAGCATAGGGAGCTAGATCTAAATACGTGGACTTTTGCTTTGGATCAGTCAATGAAACATTTTCTTCCCCATTCAGAGTAGTTCTTTTGGAGGTCGCAGCGGTTGGAGAGGAAAATGACATCGATTATCAAGTTGACTACGCTTTCAGGGGTGCAGGAGGAATCTGCCCTTTGCTATCTGTTGCAAGTAGATGAGTTTCGTTTTCTTTTGGATTGTGGCTGGGATGAGAACTTTTCGATGGACATTATTGATTCTCTGAGGAAGTAAGTAGTTCAGTTCATACACTTTTTAATTTTTTTTTTAAATAGGCCTTGTCCTTTTCTGAAAGTTTTAATAATATCATGCAATGGTATGTGTATGGTGATTTTAAATCCAGAATTGCTCTATTTTTGTTTGAAGTATGTTTTCAAAAACTTCATACTGGAACTGTTCAAAAAATGTGTGTTTGTGGCACTTTGGGACATAGTTTAGTGGTCATTGTGGCATTGGGTTTATGGTTGGACTTGATGATCCTGGAGTTGTTTTCCAGCCTTAATGATTTTATGATTCTATATGGAAGGGAATTTTGCTGCTGAAACATTTCCATTAAAAATGAGGGGGGGGAGTCTAAATACATATATTAACTGTATTTCTTGAACTGTTCTGTGGTGGTTTTTGCTTGGATGTTTTGGGTTTTTTCATAAATACGGCATGGAGTGGAGTTTATGAGAGAGGGACACTGGCTCTAAACTAATTTTGAATGATTAATTTTACATGAAAGAATCTGTGGGCTGAATATAAAGTAGTTCAACTTTTGTTTCGAGTTTAATACTGGCAGTCAGGAGAACAGCTTCTGTTTGTTATCCCAGCCCTGCAAAGAAATAAATCTGTCTAGACTACAATACTAAGCTGCTGCAGGTTTACAGCAGGGAGGTTTGCTGCTGCAAACATTGATTACAAGGCTAGGACTGAAACATGGAAATTCCTGAAGGAAATTAAGCTTTGTGATGCTACTTTTGTAGATTCATTTTTCTAGCACTGATACACTTCCAGTGTTTGAAGTATTTTAGCTGAGAATTATGAGGTACTAAGGATAGTTTATAAATTATTTTGAGTGTCTTATCTGAGAAGCAGTTAGCTAAAATCCCCTTTTAATAATGGCCAGTAAGAAAAATGTGTATGTCCCAGTTACTATGTGAGCGAACAAAAAACTTTTAGCCCAATTTGTATTTTCACTTGTTGCATGTCTTTTTTGCTCTCAGATTTTTCAATTATGATAGATACCAAGTTTTTACTTTGCATTCTTATTTACACAACACTTTGCAAGAAAAAACTCTGATTTTAAAATTAATAAACCCCCCAAAAAATGTGTACCACTTTGGTTAAATTATATAATTGACCTTTTCTGTTTTTAAAGAAATACGTTTTGATGTGACTCTAATGAATTTTTGTATCTTTGGGCCTGTTGCTTCATCTTTCACGTTAGAAGAAAAGTTGTAGTCTCTCTTAGGTTTTTATATCTGTAAACAATTTGTAGTATGTCTGCACTGAGAATATTTTTGGCCCCTCAGTTAATGTAGTTTCTGGTGACTAGACACATACTAAGGTCTTTCTGATTAGGAATTTGATGTGAAACTTATTACATCCAGACTTTGAAGTTATGTTTTCAGAAGTCATTTGCATTTTAAGCACTCAGATGTTTGGAAATATCTGTGACTTTTATTAATGATTTTTAACACTTTTCTCTAAACCTGGAAAGATTTACATTTTCTTGTTTAGTATTCAGACTGCGTATGTATTCTCAAAATAGGCATAACAGGGAGTCTATAATACCATACAGAACTTCTTTCACGGACTTGTGTTGTCCCTCTTTTTGCAGACATGTTCACCAAGTTGATGCTGTCCTTCTTTCTCATCCTGACCCTCTACACCTTGGTGCTCTTCCATATGCAGTTGGAAAAATGGGATTGAATTGTGCTATTTATGCAACTATACCTGTCTATAAAATGGGACAGATGTTTATGTATGATCTCTACCAGGTATTTCAAAGTTGATACTTTCATACACAGCATCTTTGATACAGTAGAGTGCCCAGATTCTTGAATGCTTTGTGGTTTTTCTTTGTTTTAGTCCCGCCATAATACTGAAGATTTCACACTCTTTACATTGGATGATGTAGATGCAGCTTTTGATAAGATACAACAGCTGAAGTTTTCTCAGATTGTGAACTTGAAAGGTAAAGTTGTCACTAGCATTTCAATAAATGGCTTTTAGCAAAAGGCAACAGACTTAAAGTAACTTTATTTTTAAAAAGGAGTAAGTTTCAAAATGTGCGTTTTGCAGGGCTGAATTCAGTAGCCTTTTGTCAGTCTGTATCAGCTGAACGTTTGCCCCATTAATTGTATGTGAAAATGGATAGAATTTCCACTTAATGAGAAGGAGGTCATGCTGAAGCACATTGGGACATTAGTTTCTTTTGTGTTTTTGTAACTTTTTGTAGAATTTGTTTATGTCTCTCAGAAGCATTAACTCATGCCTGATCCTAGATACCTCAGAACTCTTCAGTAACTGATAATGCAAAGGAAAGCTTTCTACAGAATGAGGAGTTTGCAAAGGTTAAGTTGCAGCGCGTGGATGATTTAATGAGGAGGTCTTTACTGACTCGGAATGAAACTTGGCGTATCTTATTGCTATGAACTTTGGCATCCAGAGAATCGGCAGTTTTGCACTCTTGTTGGATTTAGAGATCAAAATTAAATAGAAACACTGTTCTTGAGCGAAGGCACGTACAAGCTGACCACCAGCAGCTTGTCTCTGAGGTGCAGTATCTCCCAGTTCCTGGGTGCTGCTTACCAAAATACTTGCTCTGTAGTTTGATAAATAGAAATTGGATGCCCTTCTTGCAGGGCTGCTGACCATTTTTCAGATATCTGTGGCAAGGCAAGACTATGTCTATGCTGCCGACTTTTACATCTTAAAAAGTTGTTCATTAACATTACTTTTAAAAACACCCTACTTTTTCATATGTAATGGAAGCAGTTCAAAAGATTTGATAGATGCATCTAAGAAGGTAAAATGTGTGTTTTAATTATTAAAGCTGTGCGCTTCAAGTTGATGGAATGCAATGATGTCACTGGGTAATGGTTGTAGGTGGTCTAGTTTTGCTCTGACAAGAATACAGGCTAGCACCGATGATGAGTGGCAGCAATGCCTTACGAAAAAAAGGGCATCAGGTGTGCTGACAAGATGCATCATCCTGACTGCAGCACATAAACACCTTTCTTGGTATTGTTTGACTTGCATGTTTGACTTGCATGTTTGGAAAAATTCCAGTTTGTGTAACTTATATATGTTTTGGTAGGTACCTAGACAGTCAGACAATGAATGATATAGTAGATGTTTTGTGTTGCTCCAGAGAGGGGTCTGCCTTTCACCAGTGTACTTACTTACATGTGATACATTTGTTACATTAGATCTGTAGTTAGAGCAGCTCTGCAGTGCCTCAGAGTACCAGTGGGAGGTGGAGGGAAGAAGTGCTCTTCACTTTAGTTTTTGGAGGCGAAATAGAAGTGAATTTAAAAAAACCTGAAGTTACTGGTTAGATGGGAGGGACAACTATGTTACTTATTTTTCATGCTTCAGTCAACTATTGTTCCCAGTAATAATTTTGTTGTTGTTTAAATTACCTCTTATTCAGAGTAGTGGTTTTTAATACATGTAACATACTTAAAATATTGAAAACTTTAATAGGCAAAGGACATGGTTTGTCCATCACACCATTGCCAGCTGGCCACATGATAGGAGGCACAATCTGGAAGATTGTCAAGGATGGAGAGGAAGAGATTGTTTATGCAGTTGATTTCAACCACAAGAGGGAGATGTAAGTTCAACATAAAAATACGTGTTTCTTAGATGTTGTGTCAGGTGCACATCCTTTAGCATGTGATTAACAGTGTGGTAGCAGTGCCTTTCCAGCTATAAGACAAACACTAATTTCACTTGCATTCAGATTAATCAATTTGAAACAAGCATTAACTCCATGTTTCTTTATTCCACCCAGTTTTATTTATTTGTAAGTTTGAAGCAGGAAACATTCAGCTAATGAGGAGTTTAGTTTGTATATATGCAAACATCTGGAAGCTAGCCGTATTATTTTTTCTCATAAATAGAAATGCAAAAAGTGAAATTTTTGCCTTTTTTCCACAGCCATCTGAATGGATGTTCCTTGGAAATGTTGAGCAGACCTTCATTGCTTATTACTGATTCATTTAATGCTACTTATGTACAACCCAGGAGGAAGCAAAGGGATGAACAGTTACTGAGTATGTATTCTGTTAGGGCTTGAAAATAGCAGTAATGTGATTTATTAGCCACTGTAAATTGTTTTTCTGTGATAAATTCATAATATCCAAACTAAGAACCTTTACGAATTTTGAATTACTCTTTTCCAATAGTACTGATCCTGTAGCTTGAAAATTTTCTTGAGAACAATGAACCTTATTTGAAAGCAGTGTATTTTACCGACTATCAATTAATTTTTTCTTAAGGGATTTTTAAATGACCTTCCTCAACATGTTCCTTTTTTAAACTTTATTTTACTGTTTGTTTGGTTTTGTGATTAAAGGAAATAAACCAAATTCTGGTTTTCATTCAAAGTACAAGTTGTTTTTTGTTTTGTTTTTAATTCTTGTTAGCTAATGTTTTGGAGACATTACGAGGTGATGGAAATGTATTAATAGCCGTGGATACAGCAGGCAGAGTTCTGGAACTTGCTCAACTTCTTGATCAGATCTGGAGAACAAAAGATGCAGGATTAGGAGTCTACTCTCTGGCACTTTTAAATAACGTCAGCTACAATGTAGTGGAGTTTTCTAAATCACAGGTTTGTTTTGATTTTAAAATGCAATTTTGAAGAAGCTAATGGAGCATGTATGCAAAAGCATCTTGTTTTTCTTTTTAACAGTAAAAAATAGCTAAATACTGAGTGTTGTCTTCATAGGGTGTGCTTGCCTCTCAGATCTTTCAATCAAGTAACACAGAGTCCAGTCATGGCTATGGGCATGTTTCTTGATTCTTCTTTGTCTTTTTATCACAGGGCTTGTTAAAATAGTTTATAGCTGTTATAAAAGAGGACTTAAAATGCTTTTTTCTCTGTTTACACTGAGCATTATTTCTACACTTGCTGAGAAACGCTGATGTAATCATGTGTATATTGCATCCTGTGATTCATATCAAGTCGATACATCATTGTAGAATTTGTATTCTTAATGACAACTTTTTCTTAATACCTATTTTAGGTTGAATGGATGAGTGACAAGTTGATGAGGTGCTTTGAAGACAAGAGAAACAATCCTTTTCAGTTCCGCCACCTCTCCTTATGTCATAGTCTGTCTGATCTGGCTCGAGTGCCTAGTCCAAAAGTTGTTCTTGCCAGTCAACCTGACTTGGAGTGTGGGTTTTCTAGAGATCTTTTCATTCAATGGTGCCAGGATTCCAAAAACTCTATAATTTTAACTTACCGTACTACACCTGGAACATTAGCACGATTCCTGATCGATAATCCTTCTGAAAAAGTTATAGATATTGAGGTAAGAGTTGTTTATATGTTTCAACATTTTTTTTAATTGGGGACCATCTAGAGGGGGGATATAAGCAAAACTGAACTTTGTTTCTTTTTTGTTCCACTGACGACACTTCTAGTGGCAAAGGGAAATCTGAGATCAGTATATTGCATGTTTAACAAATTATGGATAAACTTATACATTTTAGTGGTGTGGCACTTCATGGAGATGAGCGTGAAGTTTCTGTTAAATATTTAGCTCTGAAAAACACTTTCCTTTTTGATTTTGTTACAATAGATAAAATTCTGCTTGCACTCGATAATATATGATGGATTACTCTTGCTGGAAAATACTCTGCTTTTGGATGAGGGGAGAATCCAGTCAAGCCAGTATAACATATCCCACTAGAATTAGAAAGATGAGCCAAATCTAAGGATTAGAGCAGGATTGTTCTTATTCACGCTTTCAAATTATTTTCAGTAATTTGTATACCTGTGTCTACTTTCTGGTAAACATTGTTAATTTATGGAAACCCCCTGTCATTGTAGTGGTAATTTCAATCCTGACGATGCAGGTTTATTTTAGTTTTAGATTGGAGTGGTAGCACTGAATTACAGTATTAGACTATTAACAATATTAGACCTATTAATTGGGTATTATTCAGAGTGATTTATATTCTTAGTTTGATTTTTAGAAAACAATAAATAAATCTTACTGTTGTTTTGCCTGCTAGTATGGGTTTGCCACATTCTTCTGGTTTCATGCTGGTGACTCCAAAATTTAAAGAACCACTGCTTATCTCAGAGTATTTGCATTCACTTATTGGAGAGATATTTCCTGAAGACGTTTAAGAATATTTGTAAGGCTAATTGACTTTAATACTATTAGAAGTAGCTTTCTGTTAAAGTAGACTCTATGTTGTCATGATGTTGCCACACCAAGGTGCCACACATTTGCATAATCTTGTCCTGTACGTGACATAGAAGCTGTACTTGCCTTTGGTACTTAAATACAAATATTCTTGTCAGCAGCTTGTGGGGAATGTATTAAAATCATGTCAGCTCCTCAAAATAATAATAATTGTAATTCTACCTGCAGTTGAGAAAACGTGTTAAGTTGGAAGGAAAAGAACTTGAAGAATACCTAGAAAAGGAGAAACTTAAGAAAGAAGCAGCTAAGAAGTTGGAACAGTCTAAAGAGTAAGTCTGTTGGCTGGTTTTGCATTCTGCTTTTACAGTCAGAGTTGAGATTTCTGTGTGAGCATTCTGCTGCTTCAGCCATTTACTTCAGCCATTACAGGGAAAAGTGAAAATTAGAGTTTTGAAAGACTTATCTGAGGGCACGGAGGAATCGGGCATAGTTGTCCTCAATGTGTTGCTACAACAGACCTGTTTCATCTGCTGTTTAACTGTGAGCTCTTTCTTAGATGCATAAACTGCCCTTGTCCTTCATTAGTATTGTGTCAACTGTTGTTTTGCCAGTCAGTGTGTTTATGTAATATTAAACCTGAAGAAAAAGAGAAGGTACTAGGGGGTTTTCTTTGTGGTTTTTTTAAAATGTCATTTCAGGGCAGATATTGATTCCAGTGATGAGAGTGATGCTGAAGAGGATATTGATCAGCCAACTGTACATAAGACCAAACATGATTTAATGATGAAAGGTGAAGGTAGCAGGAAAGGAAGCTTCTTCAAACAGGCAAAGAAATCTTATCCAATGTTTCCAGCTCCTGAAGAAAGAATCAAATGGGATGAATATGGCGAGATTATCAAGTATGTGGTGGTAAAGTATACTAACATGTCGTAGTTATGAAATAATTTAAAAAATAATGAAAAAATAATAGATTTATCTCTTTTGCAGCGCTGTTACTCTTCCAGCTGCAGTAACTTTTGAAGTTAGGACAGTTAGTACCAAGTCTTACAGGAAGTTTATGATAGGATTGAAGCTGCAGAGTGCTGATCCTTGGCCTGTGTTCATGTAATTTAAGATGTGTTTCTACTCCAGGCACGCTTTTTTGTCTTTTTTATCTTTTTTGTCTTTTTTGTGGTTTTTTTTTTTAAACCTGACTTATTTTCTGCTTTAAATTACACATAATTTTCATGAATTTATGAAAGAACATTGTTCATCCTAGAAAAATCTATCAATATTTGTCCTATTTATGTAAGAAATAGGTGCTAGAAAACGTCGATTTGCTGCAATATCCCAAGATACTAAAGTTGTTTTTAAGATAGGATGGCGATATTTTCCAAATGAGCCCTGTTCAAATATGGAAATGTTGCTGGCAAGCGTAAAAAAATTGGTGGAAATAACAATTCTAAAACATCCTAGTAGCAATAGTGTTTCTTGGTTTTATATTCTGTAGTGCTTTGGTTTTTCTGTAAGATTATTTAAAACAAAATTCCTTTCATTCTTTAGACCTGAGGATTTTCTAGTTCCAGAACTTCAAGCAACAGAAGAAGAAAAAAGCAAATTAGAATCTGGTTTGACGAATGGAGAAGAACCTATGGACCAGGATTTATCAGATGTTCCTACCAAATGTATCTCTGCAACAGAGTCCATGGAAATAAAGTGAGTGGCTTTGTCGTTCTTGTCAATTCTGCTAGAATCGTTGCACAAATATGGTTCAAATTAGATAAAAGGCTAGCTTGGGCTTAGGAGAGTGAGGAAGGTCTTGCTCTTTTCTTTTTTTCTTTTTCCTAAAACTATCTAAGTTAGCTTTTTACTAGTACTTGTGGGAACACAGTGCAGTGTATTACAGTTCTCCACTCTTAAAGAGTTTGTTCCCTGTCTGATGGAGACAAATTAAAGAGAAAGAAAAATGATACAGTGGTCTGTTAGCAGAGATACTGAAATGTATATATATTTTGTTAAATGAAGAACTTAATAAAATCTGCCTATCTCATGTTTTGGATAACTGTGTAAGTGAATTTGGGGAATTTGTGATGTTAAATGTACATCTGTGCTGACATGTGACAATTCTGTATTTTACTGATTCACAGTATTCCTTGTGCTGACAGTTTTTGCTAATGTAATTTCAAAATATCTTCCATTTTTAAAAGAAATATTTTGGAGCACTCAAAGGTTTAATCATCTAAACTAAAAAAAAAATGTTATTCCTGGATTTTTAATTCAAACTAGAGCCAGAGTTACATATATTGACTATGAAGGACGCTCAGATGGGGACTCAATTAAAAAAATTATTAACCAGATGAAACCAAGACAGCTGATCATTGTCCATGGACCACCTGAGGCCAGTCAGGACCTTGCAGAATGTTGCAGAGCTTTTGGTGGAAAAGATATTAAAGTTTACATGCCAAAACTGCATGAAACTGTAGATGCAACCAGTGAAACTCACATTTACCAGGTAAGATACTGGAGTTTTCATTGTGTAACTGTGAGCTGTACTAGAGCTATATGGGTGAATTCTAATTTGGCCCTCTCTTTGGGAGAGCAGAGAGAGTACTACCTGTGTGTACGCTTGGTTTTGTGAAACCAAGACATTAGTAGTGTTTTTCTATCTTCTAGATAAGCACTCTCCTTATGCTTCTTAGCCAGAAGCGTTTAAAAGCTTAAGTATCAGATCTGTGAGCTTTTACCTGTAGTGCAAGAGGCAAGGTTCGCATCCATGGGAACATGAGTTTGCTTTACTCAAGTCTTAATAGATTTATAATGCCTGTATTTTAGAGTATCACAGTACTTACAGTTTGGAGTTCTTGTTGGAATCTGAAGGAGAGTCCTAGAAAGAAAAGAGTAAAAAATCCTTTGTATTGGAATAATGTAAAGTTAGGAGCAAGTTAATGTTTAAAATAAATGACACTCCTACCTCTGCAAAAAAACATATTAATGTGATGGTTCTTGGAAAATGAGGTTGTGATCATGTATTGCACTGTGTTAATACATTGCATGGTTAAAGTCTGAATAAGAAAATCTGGATAATTTTTGTGAAATGTGTAAAAACTGAGTATGATCCCTATTTCGCTTTTGAGGTTGTTTAGAGGAAAGTCTCTCACATGCACTTTAGATACTAGTCCTTTATTCCTTCTGTCCTTTTAAAGTTAGAAAAACAACAGTAGGATTGTTGAAGGAGGTAATTCTGCTGCTTTCCAGAGAAAAATCTCTTAGCTCATAGGAAGTGGAAAGTTGCAGTTACCACTTTTTACAGTCTTGAAACAGTGCTATTTTCTGTGTTCGGTTTGTTGGTTGTTGTGGTTTTTCTAGTTAGTTTTGGGGTTTTTTTTTAAGCTATGAGGAGTGCTAGTAGGTAAGAAATAACACAATAAACATTTTTCACAAAATGTTTATCTGAACAAAATTGTGATTACTTCATATTTAATTTCATTTTTTAAAAAAATATATATATAAAGGGGAAATTCAGTCTTCTGCATAGCTTTAGGTTTTTTTTTTTGTTTGAAGCTTTCTGAAGAGATGAAGTACACTGGAGACATGGAATTAAAACCTAATAAATCTGAGTGGGGCATCAGAATCCCCGTGTCTGAGTGGGCTGTGCTGCAGATGGATAGTTAGTCGCAGTGACCTTCACACAGTTGCAACCTCGATTCCTGTGTGGGGATCAGGTACAATGGTGTGTGTAGTCTTTCAGAGTACGGCTTTATTTAATGGGTTAGAGTCCCAGAATGTGCCAGAGGAATCACTGTCTTGTAATGTTCTGGTCACTTTAAAAATCTCATATTTACAACATCCTTTCTTACAATAAAATATTCATTATAAAATATTGGTATATAATAGAAATCTGGAACCACTGTTCAGCAACCTAAATGAAACTTCCTTAAATTTCCTAAGGCCAACTGAAGTACTTGATGGCTACAGAAAAGGGGTTTTACGTTTTAAAGGGAATTGATTGCTCTTGCTGTAAGTTTAGCTCAAGTAAGTTGTATAGGTTCTTTTTTTTATCTTAACCAAACCAAAAAATGTATTGATATCTGCTGCTTTTTAAGTTGTGTAGTAGAGTGAAAGTTATACAAATTATATTTTGAAAGTATAGAACATCTTGCCTTGGTGAAACCGATTCCCTCCTTTCCCTCCCCAGTGAAAGGAAAACTGCTGATTTTTAAAGCTTGAAGTAAGAATCCTGTGTTTTCCATCAAACTAATAGTACTTTTATTTTTGTGCAACCCAGGTCAGGTTAAAAGACTCTCTTGTCAGCTCGCTTCAGTTCTGTAAAGCCAAGGATGCTGAGCTGGCTTGGATAGATGGTGTTCTGGACATGCGGGTTTCGAAAGTGGATACAGGAGTTATTTTGGAAGAGGGGGAGCTGAGGGAAGATGAAGACTTAGAGATGCAAGTGGATGTGCCTTCTTCAGACTCTAGTGTCATTGCACAACAGAAGGCCATGAAAAGCCTCTTCGGTGATGATGACAAGGAGATGTGTGAGGAGAGTGAGATCATTCCTACTTTGGAACCTCTGCCACCTCATGAGGTACAGAAATAACGTCAGTCTGGACTTTTTTGAAGAGCTCTGTATTCAATTGTCTTTTTCTAGTTGATACTGTGATCTTATTCAAATGAAAACCTAACTGAACCTGGTACTGTTCTTTGTTCAGATGTTATGCTTTTCAGCTAGGATGATCTCTTGCATCCACTAACAGTGGCTAACATACAGTAACATTTACTAATAAAGATAAGATTTTAATTAGCATTCTTCATATTTGTAGTTAGTACTTGCAGATTTGGACTTTAGTTGACATTTAGTCACTCTTGGATTTTATTATGTTTTGTGGATGCTATGGAAAGTACTTAATATACTTGACATACAGATGTTTGAAATCCATGACTGCTTCTACAGTAGTGATTTGAGAGTTCAGTAATTTAATCTTTTCTATCAATTTATATTGTATTTATAATATATATAAAATATATAAT